ATAGTATGGTATGAAGAATAACTGACTAAAAAATAAATATCTTTTGGTTATCAAGCAAACTTTTAAAATGACTTAAAGTCCAAAAAGTGCTTTTAGACATGCCAGGTTTCGAACTCACCGATTCAATTATTTTAACTCGGAAGTCCATTCCATACATTAGGTCCATTTTGTACTCCACCATATTGGTAACTTAATTCAATGAGCACAAGTGGATATTCTTTTTTACCGAACTTATAGGAATAGCTAAAGTATTTCAAGTTTTACAAACTGTACAGCTTTAGCATATCGCCAAAACAGTAAAGCAGATGTTTCTGGTATAAAATGCATAGATAACTATGTACTTTTGAGCTCCACCTTTTTTCGATTTCTGATATTTGGAATAATTTAAGTTTGTTTAAAAATCAAAAAAGGCCGACTAAGAAATAGCTCGATCTTATGGGCAACTGTATAACCAAAGCATTTAAGCACCGACTGTCAAGTTTTTTTTTTAAATGCTTGTTTTCTTTTCTGGTTTGTGACCTTTGTGTTATATTTACATTACTTTATTAACCTAATTTAAATGTGATCCTTTCACACTTGGGTTTGCAGATTGATTACCACGATCCAAGAACACCATAAGGTTTTTGAACGCTGCTGTATGTTATACTAGATCACTAAAACTAATCCACTAACAATGAAACATTTATTTACTATTTTTTACAGCAAAACGCCAATGCAAATCTGCACTTTAGTCAAAAAATGTTAGAAAGTTTTTTCAATTATGCGTCCAGTTTTACGGTGACTCCACAACAACTTCCGCCACTGAGTAGCGAAACTCTGGTGCCCCTGTCCACGTTACAAAATTGGTACACAAACTTTCAACGAAGAATGGCTCAAAATCCGAATTTCTGGAAATACTGATTTGACGGCACGGAACTCGCGCTCGCACGCAGATGTGGAAGAACAATTCATACACACAAGAGTTTGTTCCTCAAATTGAGCATTTATCTGATTAAGTGGCGCGTAGTATCTAATTGGTAATCTTCTACAATGTATGTACGTATTTTTTAAGCTTTGACCGTAACACTGTATAAGCTTCAAGCCTGAAGAAAATGCAGGGAAATCGTCGTATGACGAAAAATGTAAGTTAACGAATACCCTAACGTGCTATGGGGTCATTAGGAATCTGAGAACGTCTATAGGGTTTTTAGGCTCATTTCTTGCTGGAAACCTGAATTCTTTGTATGATTTGTTGTTGCTTATTACTCCTTTGACCTCCCGTGAGTAGACAACGCCTTCTTATTATTATTTTCCTCTAATATTCGTACTCAGATTTATGAACACAACTGCATGTACTACATATGTACATTAGAGTGGTTAAAATTTTTGGGAAAAAAATTCAACGTAGAAAACCGGACACTCGCTTGGTTTTTCCCTATTTTCTCTGTACACGTTTTGAAACTTTCAAAAATATTGATTTGTATAAAAAGCTACCATTGCCATGACACCTGCAGCTGGAAATATTTTTCTAGCTAATTTACGTTTGAAGTACTCTTCGGTTGTTTAACCAATTGTTTGGTTAATATATGTACAATATACTTCTTGTGTAAAATATTCGGGCAGGTTCTGGAATTCACTTCCGAGTCAATTTCAACCCCTGCCCATTTGAATTCAAAACGAACTTGACTCAAATTCACTCGGAAGTGAATTCAGAACCTGCCGGATAAACTTTTCCTCCAAGTTTATACCTAGAAATGTAAAGTTAGGTGACAGCAACTCTCTCGGCAAGAGTAAAAACTTTGGGAGGTGCCCCGACCCCAACTCGGAAATATTTTATTTTGGACCACTCTAATGTACATATGTATTTTGCCTTATCCCGAGTTTCGCCCGAAAAACTCGAAAATCTTTCATCTGCCCATAGTAAATACATGGTGACAAAAAATTAACCGGTTCGGGAAAAATTAAACTCATGATTAGGCTCATTATGTCTGCTTTGTTTAAGATCGGCAGCCGTAACTCTAAATATGTATGTATTTTCAGTTTTATTATCAAAGTAGATTTGATACTGCATAATTATGTTATGACTGCTTCCTCTTTTTATTTTAAGCATATTTAGTGGATGTTTTAATCAATTCCACTTACCACTGCCGGCGTTAGGTGAGAAATTGTTAGCTCCGGTTCCACTGATATACCAATTTGGGCAGTACATGAAATCTCTTGTGCTCCGAAAATCATGCCGTTTTCCGCTGCCTCCAGTTCATTACTTTTTTTTAACTGAGATATTTTAAAGATCGCTGACGGTTTGGCGTTGGAGACGTAGCCCAAATATTGCCATGTTGGAGCTGAATTTGCATCAGGCCAGCTAAAGTATACCGCGGCTGCTGTACCTTCGGGAAGCGCTGTTACACCAGTCAAGAATACCACAATATAGTTCACATGATCAATGTCTGGTACGTTGATAACAACCTTATTCTCGTCCACGGGTGTGAAGTCGGTTTGCGGCTACAAACATAGGGATTCGTTCTATGTTTATAATTGGTAAATTGAACAATAATATCAGCTCACTTACCAAACGTCCCGAAATTATCAATCCAAACATCCTAAACGTATTTATCCACGGAAAATCAAATGATGTTCTAGAACAATTGACAAAACAACGCGTTGTACCTGCTTGTTGCCGCATAAATAACAACAAGCGATCAGCTGTTTTCCAATATGCTTTAACCGCAAGGTTGCCATCACCGCAGCTAATTGCGCAACCAATATTGCGCAATATTATTTTAATTATTGCGATTCCTCCTAGAATTTCGTGTGTTCGTGCGCTGCAAATTAACCAACAGGTTAATACAAAATCAGGAACACATCAAGATAACCAACCGTTCAGCTATGGGAAAACTAAAAATGCAGACCAATAGTACTTTTTACGCTGATTTCAACTATGGCCCTGTGAAGGTAGTTCCATTGTCACTTTTCGGGCGCCTTATTAACTACCTGACAATTAAGCAGATTGTGGCATTTCGTGCTGCTATACCTAATACTCAATAATCATTTATTTATTGTAGAAAAAGTATTTACAAAATTAAAAGAAAATTAGTCTTCGATCTGAGCAATAAAGAAAATTGAAATTCATACATCACCATATTTGAAAAAACAACAAACTAACTTTTTCTTTGAAATAAAAGATCGGTAGATATGTTGTCCATCGAAAAAATTAGCTATTTTGTTATGGACGATAGGAGGTACTGCCGGTTGAACTGGCTTAAGTGCAGTTCCCCAGAGAAAAGTCCAAGAGAGCCAGTTTTGGGGCCATAATTGAAGATTCGATTATGGTTGATTCCGGGCTCAGTTCTGGTATTAAACCAGCATTCAGCCTCAGGGAACTAAACATTATAGAATCTCTTCAACAAAGGTAAAGGTCGCGTACTATTCTGTGGCATTGAAAATACACGAGTGCTCAGATTCCGCTAGCAATTTCCGCCTTGCCCCACTCAGTGTTATAGCATAATCCGTTTCTTTTTGGTATGCAGGTGGCCTTTAAAGCTTCCCCACGTATGAAGACACAAAGTGACGGTAAGTGGAGCAGTGCATCAAGAGCAGCGCCACGTGTTGTAGAGAAAGCTTCCGTACAGCATACGGCAGTAGTTCTTTGAAGTTTAGCAAGCAAACTTCCCACGCTCTTGATTGAGAATCTGCTCCATATGAATATGGTGACACACCCCACGATTTGCCAAAGACCTGCCTGCATTGCCAAAATGCTGCCAAATATTTAGAGGTTTTGTGTTCCACGCTAGATTTACACGACAGTTTTGTATCTTGAATTACTTCTAGATACTTCACCTCGGCAGAATTCTGAATTGTGACTCCTTTAATGTGAGGCAATGAGACCATACAACCTTCTCCGAAGCCTGTTCCGGACTATGCTTTTATGACGAAATATCTATCAATACATCTTCTTCGGACTATTAAAAAAAAAGAGTTTTATTTTGTAAATTTATTTTTTTTGTTTAAAACCAAATGAAACAAGTAAGAAAGTCTAAGTTCGGGCGGAGCCGAAGATTAAATACCCGGCGCAAGTATTAAATATATGTTTTCCACCTTTCCGAAGGCTACCGCTAGATGGTTAGCCGGGGTGTATAAATTTTGAGTAAATTAGCGTCCTTAAATTTCGAAATATTCCACTTTCAAGCATTTCTGAAATTTACCGTTATATGAAAAGCGGCCGTAATTTTAGTCCGATTTCAATACTTTTCAACTGTTTGCTTTTATGTGGCAAGCACAATAACCATACCGAGTTTGGTACAAATTGCTAGAACGGTTAGCGAGAGAGACATATATGTGATCATAAGTGGGCGGTGCCACGCCCATTTTCTAAAATTTTATCATACACGTAAACGTCTTGGTAAAGAATTGTTGCAACCATCAATTTCGAATAAATTAGCTTTAATATTTAATGATTTATGGAGGATTTCGTATTTCCCTAAATTACCGTTATATGGGAGGTAGGCGTGGTTATTGTCCGATTTCGCCCATTTTCAATACCGTCCGTCCTATGCCCAAAAGAAGTGCACGTACCAAGTTTCGTTAAAATATCTAAATTTTTACTCGAGTTATCGGACGGACGGACAGTCACCGCTTAGTCGATTTCTCTTTTCATTCTGATTATTTATGTATGTATACATTTGTCTATATCTATCTCGATTCGTTTTGCCTGTTACAAACAACCGTTATGTGAACAAAGTTATAATACCCTTGTGCACAAGTGCGCTCGGGTATAAAAATAATTTAATGAATTTGCAAGTCTTTCTACTAGCGATTTATTTAAATAAAATATGTGAATTTTAGTTGAAACATTTTAGCCGTTTTTCTTTGTTAATTTAGCCGGTCGGTCCAAAAAGTTCACAGGCAACACTGAACTCCAACGAAAAACATCTAGAGGTGTGATATCACGCGATAACTTGCTGGTGCTGTAGTGCTCGTTATTTACGGTTATGTTCTGTCTGCGGCTAAATTAAAATTAATTTATTTGTCTCTTACTTTAATTCTATTTTGGGCTTGTTTTAAACGTTTAATTAACTCAAGTTAGGAAACTTCCTTTTCCTCTTAAACGAAACCTTTATTTCTATAAATTATTTTTTACTTTTAAGTTCACATTGTAGTAAAAGCGAGTTTTTAGTTTTTTAAAGAATAATTTTATAACGCATAGAACAACACGCGAAATTAATCGTTGGAAGCTTACGGCCAAATCGTAATTACTTCCAGGATGGGACCTGGATCAAGATTATTCAAATACGATTTAGATTAGTGGTGGTCGCCGACCTGCGCGCGGTTAAAGCTCTTTCAAGCTTTCTATATACAATTCACAAAACCCTTGAAAGAGCTTTGCCCGCGAGCAAGCTGCTGCCCACTACTGATTTATATGGCAAAGAATATTTCTTTGAAATTACAAGAGAGTTTATGTTGTTGCGTTCACATGCCACTTGCTGATTTGCTTCACCACAGTTTCCGTCAATTCGAAAGACATGACTTAGCCAGCGGAGCCGCTGAGTNGAAATTACAAGAGAGTTTATGTTGTTGCGTTCACATGCCACTTGCTGATTTGCTTCGCCAACGTTTCTGTCAATTCGAAAGACATATCTTAGCCAGCGGAGCCGCTNACAATTCACAAAACCCTTGAAAGAGCTTTGCCCGCGAGCAAGCTGCTGCCCACTACTGATTTATATGGCAAAGAATATTTCTTTGAAATTACAAGAGAGTTTATGTTGTTGCGTTCACATGCCACTTGCTGATTTGCTTCACCACAGTTTCCGTCAATTCGAAAGACATGACTTAGCCAGCGGAGCCGCTGAGTTTTAGTTCGCTGCACTATGTCTATATCGTGATGAGCTGCATCATTAAATCGTCTGCGGTATGTATTTGTAAAAACAATGTATGTATTTACAAATGTATATTTGTATTTAAACGTATGATTTACGAATATATAAAAATACATACTAATTTGTATATTTATGTATGCGAATAAAAATATTATGAAATACATATAGCATAACGAATAGTTTTCTGATTTTTATAAATTTCAACAAATTTGTTAACGATTTATTTTGGAACGAATTTCCGTCATCCCTTGTCAAGTTTGGTTTGCAGACAAACCGGTTTCGGCATTGTACCATCTTCAGTGTCATTTTTCGTTCTCAGAACGAATTTCCGTCATCGCTTGTCAAGAGTGGTTTGCAGACAAACCGGTTTCGGCATTGTGCCATCTTCAGTGTGATT